TCGAGACTGAGACTAAGGCCGAGACTGAGACTGAGACTGAGACCGAGATTAAGTTTGAGTCCAAGTCCAAATCCGAGTTTGAGTCCGAGTCTGAGTTCGAGTCCGAGTTCGAGGGTGAAAGCCTAAAGTGTTCATCTCTCAGACCCTAGGGGGTTTAGTGAGCTCCAAAAGTATAATAGGGGGAGGACTCCAATGGAGCCAGTTTGGCCAAGAAAAACTAATGTGACCAAGGAAAGTTATACCCACATGGTGGGTGATGATTAAACCATTGAGGAGTTCAAAGCTAGAGTGAATACAAACTGACAAACAGGATAGCTTGGTGAAGTGTTCAAAAACTGGCTCTAGCTCTTTCGAAAGATCAAATGGTCGATACTCCCAATCCAAGTGCGGGTGGCACTACTTACTTGGATACTTGGTGTGGCTCATTAGAACCTCGCTCTAGCCACATGGCTAGAGCAACTAAAGGCAAAAGGTGGGGAAAGTACCTACAAGGCTTGCATAGGGCCATGGTGTTTCGAAATATCATCCCAAAGTCCTAGATTGTGGAAAGGAATAAAAGTAATCCTTTGGTATAATGACCAAAGATACTGTCATATGGTGAGGAAGTCCTAAAGGACAGTAGGATTTAGTGGTCGGGTCTTTTGGCCTTAACCCAGTGGTGGTGTGGGCAAGCACGGCTGTCGATGAAGAGAAGTTTGGTAAGGATGGAAGAAGGGGTATTAGGGAAGGGTGTTCCCCATGTCTCTAGGCATCCTAATAGTGCTAAAGTGTGGTTAAGGGATAACCACTCATGGGCAGATGGCCCAATCCTTGAGAGATAAGATTGTGATGTAGGTGGTCTTGGACTACCGATGTGACAAAGGTGAATGATCATAGCCTTAGTGTAGCAGGATGATATATCGGTGGTACCTTTGAGTGTCGGTTATGGGATTGGACACGTGGAACACTTAGACCAAGTGCAAAGGCTATGTGGCATAGATTCTATTCATAGGGTGTTGCGAATGTAACTTCGGGTATCGAAAGTTACTTGTTAACCAATCCTTACGGACACTCTTACCTTACTGCCATGATGGTAGGAGGTCGATATTGTGTAAGCGACTAATTTTTCCAATCTACTTTAATCACTTAACCACACCTCCGACCACTTGGAGGAATCTCACTCACAACCTCCATAAGTCCTATTTTGGATTTGGGTTTGGTAGCCTTGAGAATGGCATCCCTGCCACTCAACCTTTGCACTTGGTCCAAGTGCTCCACGTGTCCGATCCCATGACTGACACCCCAAGGTACCACTGACATATCAACCCATTACGCTAAGGCCATACCCATTCACCTTGGTTATATCAGTGGTCTGACACCACCTACATCCCAGTCCCGTCTCTCAAAGACTAAGCCATCCATCCATGAGTGATCATCCTAGATCCACTACTTATCATCTTTAGGATGCCGATGGATATGGGGAATAGCCTTCCCCAATATCCCCTTTCTGGTCCCCACCAAGTCCCTTTTTGCCCATGGCCGTGTTCGCCAACACTGCCACTGGATTGAGGCCCATAGGCCCGACCACTAAATCCCATGGTCTTCTGGGACTTCCTCCTCACATGACCATATCCTTGGTCTCTACACTATAGGATGGCTCCTCTTCCTTTTCACAGTCTGGGACTTTGGGACAACATTTCGGAACACCGTGGCCTTATGCGAACCTCATGGGTACTCTCCCCGCCTTCTGCCTTTGGGTGCTCTAGCCATGGGCTTAGAGTGAGGTTCCATTGAACCACACCTGGTATCCAAGTAAGTAGTGCCACCCACACTTGGACTGGGAGCATCGGCTAGTCGATCTCCTGGAGGAACTAGAGCCAACTCTTGAACACTTTACCAAGCTACCCTACTTGTCGGTCCATGTTCACTCTAGTCTTGGACTTCCCAATGGGCAGCTCATCACCCAACACAGGGTATAGCCTTCCTGGGCCAAACTAGCCTTTTCTGGCCAAATTGGCTCCACTGCAGTCCTCCCTCTCACTATACTTTTGGAGCTCACCAAACCCCCTAGGGTCTGGGAGATGAATGCTTTGGGCTTTCACCCTCTCAAACTCAAACTCGGACTCGGACTTGGACCCGGACTTGGACTCGGTCTCGACCTCGGTCTCGGCCTCGGTCTCGGTCCCGATATCGGTCTCGGTCTCGGTCTCGGTCCCGGTTTCGGTCCCGGTCTCGGTCTCAACTTCGGACTCCATCTCGGGTCCATCTCAGACTCCATCTCGAACTCCATCTCAGACTCCATCTCGAATTCCATCTCGGGTCCATCTCGGACTCCATCTCGGACTCCATCTCGGGTCCATCTCGGACTCTATCTCGGGTCCATCTCGGACTCCATCTCAGACTCCATCTCGGGTTCACCTTGTACTCCAACTCGTGTCCACCTTGGACTCCATCTCGGGTTCATCTCGGACTCCATCTCGGGTCCACCTTAGACTCCAACTCGGGTCCACCTCGGACTCCATCTCGGGTCTATCTCGGACTCCATCTCAGACTCCATCTCAGGTCCATCTCGAACTCCATCTCGGGTCCCATCTCGGACTCCATATCGGACTCTCCCATGTGTCATGTGTTGGTCCTTTTGGGTCCCTTTTTGGAGCCTTGCTTATTGCTCGCTTTGTGCTTGTTCCTCGAGCACTTTGTTGAGAGTCCCACTCCCACTCTCAACCTTTCAAGTTGGAGCTTTTAGTCCAAACGTGTTATGCTCGTTTGGCTTTCGCTTTGGCCACTACCACGTGGCACCATTTCGGCTCCACTTTGGGGCCTAGGGATTTTGTGTCTCACATATTGCTGGACCCGTTATCAGTTCCCATTTGAGCTAGTTGAGAAACTGGTCAGTGACTGTGTATTTAAATCAGATAAACATAAAGTAGGAACCTTATGTGTTTCTTGTTGAGCATACTCGGCCTGGTTTGAGAAACTCCTGTCATTAGACTTGCTAGTATCAAGAACCCCCACGTATTGAGACTAGTCTCTCAATATCGCTGAATGATAGCTTTCCATGTCTTCCAAACACCCTTGCTATCATACCCTTTGTGTTAGTCTCATTTTGGTCCCAAATGCTATTTATGGAATGTGTTCAGATTTGCTCATTTGGCATATCTACGGAATGTAAAGATTGTTTTGAACACAATGGTGTTCGTCCCTTGTCCAAATTTGCAATCTAGCGCCATTCCATATTTAGTAAGTTTCAAGCTTGTCCCAGAGACTAACTCCTGATACTAAAGGAGGCTTGGGGTGAAAACCCAAAACATGTGTTCCTTGGGGAGGGGGGGGGGGGGGGGTTCCAAATGTATAGTAGGGATAGTGGGTAAGTCAAGCATGGCTGACCAACCTGAGGCATAGTCTAGCTCCTACTTGCATGCCTATCCTTGTTCTGTGTCCGGCTTGGGTCTAAGCCCAAGTTCTTTTCCATGCTAGCTGGTGGAATACCCATGTCCTTGCATTAGGCCACTAGTATGCTGAAATAGTGCCAGACTCCATTTGGCTCCGTTTTGCGTGCTGGTCCTGGCAATGGGATACTGGTTGCTCTAGGATTGTTTTAAGTCACTCCGGGCTCTTGTCCCTTCGCTCCTTGGGCTGTATGCTCAGGAGTTGCTCTGTGGTCCGTTCCATCACTCCTTAGCTCCATGCTTGGGAGTTTGGCACCGTTCCTTCGTTCAGTGGCCCAAGGCCCTGAACCTTAAGTTCCGCACCATTGTCCTTTGGACACGTGGCATATAACACGTGGCCTGTGTCACGTGGCATAAAGAGGGTTTAGGTTCCGCTTCGTGGTGTTATCCTATGGTAAATCACCATAGGATAAAGGGTCAAAACCACGTGTGCTACATGGGGCTAGCATGTCCTAAGTCAAGAATAGGACTTATGGAGGTCGTGAGCAAAACTTCTGCAAATGGTCAAAGGCATGGTTAAATGACTAAAGTAAAATAGAAATTTAATGGCTTACAAATTGACATTTACCTTGCGAAATTTTTAACTCATCTCCAAAGCTATCTTTATAATAATCAAGATCCTTATCACAATTTAGAATCCACTCAAGCTCGTAAACATTATCCTCCCATAAACTTGATGTTCAAACATTCTCCAAAAACTAAATTGCATCATCTATAATTTACCAATCAATATCACGATCACGCTCCACATAAATAGGAGATGGCAAAACACTGAAAACATGATAAATTAAATAATCACATCCCCATAAAAGATAGAGATAATAACACACCAAAGATGGGTGTAACACTAATACAATTACACCCCACAACACCAAAAACTCAGTCCAACAGAATGACATTAACAACCTTAAGTGATATACCTCTTGACATGGTAGAAAAAGAAAATGCAATGAAGATTAGAAAAAAAAGCAAATCTAAGCACAAAGAAAGCTAGAATTCTAAATCTTGCAAAAAGCTTATATAAATATAAATTTAAAAAAGAATAAAGAAATAAAAACAAGAAACACAATCCCAAACACTAAAGTAAAGTACTGCCAAAAAGCTTTACCCTTCAGGAATAAATTACAATGCTCTTCACTTCCACAAATGTGAGTGCTCGAATAAGTATATTAATTAGGGTTTAGACTACTTTTTATATACAAGAATAAATGGACCATATTAAGTCTTAAATGGATGATCCTAGTACTATAATTATCATATTATTTAGGTAGGATAATACATGTATATACATATATATATATATTTAACAACTCTTTTAAATTATATTTAAGTTATTTTTATTATAATTTACTATAAATATAAGATATTTATTTGAATAAATAACATGTAAAATAAAAGCCCAAAAGCACAAATATAAATGAGTTTAGCACCAATTCTTTTTATTCTGTTCTAGTTCTCTTTATTTCTTTTACATACTAAGAAACCAAGTTACTCCTAGTTGATCTATTTATCTAGCTTCTTTTCTTTGTAACCCTTAGTGTTTATATATTTACTTTTTTCCATTTTGGAGAATGCTAGGGTTTCCTGATGTTGCTCTGCCTTAGTGCGATTTCCCCCGTGCGGTTTTCGTTCCAGCGGCAGCAAACACCTTCAACGAGTCCTCCCGCCATTGTCCCAGGTAAGATTCTCCAAAACGTTGTGATTCCAGACCACTCTTTATAGAGATTTTCAACCACGAGGCATGCTTGATCGATGCTGTCCCGGCATCCAATCGTCCCTGGTTCCCCTACAAGGACGAGTTCCATCTGGATAAACCGGAGAAGCAATCATCCAGCAGCAAAGTGGTGATTGCTTCCCTGGCCGAGTTCGTGGAGAAGCAAATGAAGGAGCGCTTTGAGCGGGTTGTGCGCAGCAGGAGCTACTCGGCGTGTTTCGTGGCCGAGGCTCTGGACAACGCGGGCAACATCGCCGCCATCTTTAGATCCGCGGAAGCATTTGGCTTCCAGTCCGTTCATGTGATCACGTCTCTCACTGTTAAAGGGTGAGTTTTTGGAATGATGAGCGAGCTTTCGTCTATATCATTTGTTGTTTTTGTGTGTGATTTTCAGGTACAAAGGTGTGAGGAGAGCACATAGAGGGACAGAACGGTGGCTAGATGTTGAGGTATGGAATTGCGCAAAAGATTGTATCCAGGCATTGAGATCCCGGGGTTACCGGATAGCAGTGACAAGCACAGGTCATGACACGGTACTAAAACCTCTATTTTTCCTCTTGTTTTTTGTTTTTTTTGTTTATAAGTTCTTCGTCCTTGCCAGGTTTCTATCTGTGAAATGGACTGGACGATTCCAACTGCAGTGATTTTCGGTAACGAGCACGAGTAAGCTAGTCGTCATTGGATGTTTCTTTTCAGCTATAGAAAAGAAGCTTTCTTAAGTTTGTAGTTTCTTACACGCAGGGGTGCCAGTGACTACTCCACGTCCGAGGCGGACATACTTTGCGGGATTCCAATGTTTGGTATGGTGGATTCTCTCAACGTGTCGGTCGCGGCTGGAATTCTCATGCGTCATGCCGTTTGTGACAGGATCGCTAGGAATGTAAGTTTGAAGTCACTGGAAGCGTGAGGAGTTTCTCACAGCGTTTGTGATGATCCGTCCAGGGCATTCATGGAGATCTAGAGCCGGAGCAGCAAGAGATCTTGATGGCGGAGTTTTTCCTCCGGTACAAGCGCAACTCGGCAGACATTTTCAGCGATCTGGCCAAGAAGCGCCAGCTCGATCAATACAGGAACTTTTAAAACCATCCAGTTCTTCAGGAAGAGATCGATCTTTATTGACGTTCTTCGTGGCAGCCAACCAGGTAAGTCTTCTTGGGTTTTTCTCCCCTGTTAAGAGTTTGCGTGCTAAAACGTTTCTCCTATAGTGTTCCATCTCAACTCAAAGGATTCCAATTTCCAACAAGATCCTGGCAATGACGTTGTAAACTCCAAGGGCCTCCCTTGGCTTGATGGATCGTGCACGCTTACACCAAACTCAGTGCCTGATTGATAGATTTGCCTTTGCCCTCCAGGGATTTGGATCTTCAGTTTCACATCATCAAAGCCCGTTCTTCTCTTGATTGAATTCAGCGAAAGCCAAAACTACGGAGAAAAGCAAGACGCTTAACGTTAAGACGATCGCCGCCGCAGATCCAGATATCGTCGTCGTCTCCTTATCCCGTTTGCTTGATTGATTTGAACCGTTCCTTAAGTTCCTCGAACCAAAACCAGACACTGTCCCATCAAAACCGGTGCCAAGCAAATCTGCAAGCAAGCCAGCAATTAATACTCGTCCGTCCCCATTCTCTCCAATACATTCACCTTTCACACCTGAAAAAGAGAGAGAGAAGAAAGAGAATATGGTATTGCCATCGATTTTCTTTCTTTTTTTTTAAATGACGCGAATCCAAAGAAACTCCGGATTCTTATTCTCCAAGAGAGATCGGAGAGATCTATTGTCTATCTGTGTATCAAAGATGAGAAACAAAAGAAATTTACAAAAGGGGGGGTTCGCCAACTTGGCCAGATGCCTATGCTCGAATCAAACAAGGCAAGCTCGCTCGCTAACTTTGTCGAGCAAAGCATGCAAAGCAAGAAAGCCATCAATCATCAAAAATGAAACCTTGATCCTCCTCCAAGAGTCCCAATTTCTTCCTCAGTCGCCTCGCCTCTCTCGTTATTTCGATCGACTCCTCCCCCGAATCTTCCTAGAAACGATCCAGCCGAGTTGTGTGAGTGAGAGTCAAGATGTTCACCATCCCAAAGTTCTAAGAACTCCGTAGAAAGTTTTACAAGTGAGTCGATCCTCCTCCTCCTCCAGGTCCTAGAAACCCCTCGTGCTGCTGCTGCTGCTGCTGCTGGTGATGGTGGTGGTGGTGATGATCCCCGCCACCACCACCATTCCCACCGCCGCCACCCTCCCTGTTAGTCCCACTACTCGTCCGTGCCAAGCTGCCGCCACCCATCTCCTCCTCCTCCTCCACCGCCGCCGCCAAAAACTCCCGCTCCTCGTCAGTCACGAAATCATGCCGCTCCAGCTTCGCGTGCGCCGCTACGTACATCATCTTCCCCGCCCGCTCCGCCGCCACCCTCCCAAGGCCCCCAAATCCGCCTCCAAACCCTCCGCCACCTTTCCCCGCCACCTTGAGCGCCCAGCTCTTCACCCCCCCGGACGTCGCATGCAAGAAGATCAACCTCGCCGCCACCTTTCCCAGCAGCCGGAACTCGTTCAAGCACGTCTCCCACACCAGCCTCCGGCTCTGCCCGCTCATACATTTCACCCTCCCCGTCGCCGGATCCGTCTCCTTCACCTGCACCGCCTGCGCGTACAGCGGATCCAGCCCCTCGGACCGCCACTTCATGAGCTCCATGAGCACGATGTGCGCCTCCTCGCGCGAAACCAGCCGCGTGATGAGCCGATCCACGTCCTTCTCCTGCTCGGAGCTCAGGATCTTGTATGGCGGGAGGTAGCGGTTGTTTGCGTCCTTGACGAGGTAGAGCGGGTCGAGTACCAGCGCAGCCGACCACGCCGGGTGGTAGTTCGTCGTGAATCGCGCCTGGATCAGCCGCATGATCGACGCTTGATCCTTTCCATGCCGCGCGCAGCAATCCATGAGCTTGTCCCGGAGCTCCTCCCACATTGGCAGGCACTGGCTGACGAGCGGGCGCTCGGCCTCCATGTCGCGGATCATCACCGCCACCACCCGCGAGATCGCCTGGACCGCCTCCAAATCCTTCCAGAACCCCTGCGAGAGGACGATCTCCGATGCCTCGCGCGCCGCCGGGTCGTCCCCGCCAGCGTACACCATCTTGAAGGACGCGTCCGCGACGATGGCGTGGAGCGCGCGCGCGCTGGCGGCGATCCCGTCCGGGAGGAGCAGCGCTAGCGCGGGATCCACCGCGTCGCGATCGGCCGCGCTGGCGGAGGAGGAGCTCGCTGATGCTGCTGCGGTCGCCGCCGCCTCGGCGAGCTCCGCCAGGGCGCGGATCCTCGCGTAGGCGTCGCGCTGGAAGCGCTGGAGGAGCGTCCGTGCGGGGTGATTGCCCGAGAAGAAGGCGACGAGCTTGAGGCAGTCGGTTGCGACGGATCGAAAGAGCGGGGATCGCTTGGCGAAGTCGCGGAGGAGGCTGGCGAAGGCCTGTGCCTGGCAGGGGACGCTCACGATCCAGGACCGCCGGGACTCCACCTCGCGCAGCGCCTTGTTCACCGCCTTGCCCGCGTCCGCCACGATCCCCACGCAGCGCTCCGGCGATCCGCCGCACAGCGCCGCCACCGCCTCCTCGAGGATCGCCTCCACTGCCTTCGCCCCGCCGCTACCGCCGATCGGCAGCGCGCGCCAGAAGAGGCTGCTGCCATTGGGGAGATTGATCGTGATGTAGACGAGATCGCTGACGCTGGAAGGGGAGGAAGAAGGATCCATCGCCATCGCGGCCATTGCCATCGCCGCCGGGGAGGACAGCGCCAAGGAAGGAGAGATTGGAAAGATCGAGCGGCGCTTCCAGCCATCGGTGGAGATCTGGAAGAAGAGCGCGTCGCCCAGCCGAGCCTCGGATTGCCTCTTCACCTCCTCGAATCGCGCGTCCAGCCGCGGCCCCGCCAGGAGCCGCCGGCTGGCAGCGCCCTGGAGCCCGATCTGCGCGAGGAAGGCCCGGAATTTGGGATGCTCTACCACCGCCAGGGGCACGGTGGCGTGGGACTCGTAGAGCCAGTCCGCGAGGAGCGCGATGGCGGCCTCCCCTTGCTCCTTGGTGAGGCCACCGCCGCTAGAACCAGGCTTCAGTCCGGGGCTCTTGATCCGCTTCACGTTGTCCTCGAGCAGCGCCAGCGCGCCCAGATCCTCCTTGCCGCCCGAGAGGTGGAGCGGCAGCCTCTCATCCAGCGCCGCCGGTGCCGCCGCCGCGCCCGATCCCGCTGGAACCGACGATCCCGGAGCCGGTGGCGCCGCTGGCACGATCGCGAGGCTTTGCTGCTGCTGCTGCTGCTGTTGATTCTGCGAGGACAATGCCGCGGCGCGCTTGCGGCCGGAGGAGGATTTCGGGGTGGTGGCGGTGGCGATCGCGGCAGCGGCGGCCGCCACGCCCGCCGCTGGCGGAGGCGGGGACGATCCGAGGGGGCGGTAGGCGCCGCTGAAATTAGGGCAAGTGCCGCGCTTGAGGTGCTCGCTGGCGGTGCGCGAGGGGTTGGAGGCGGAGAACATGGCGTTGCAGAGGCCGCATCGCAGCTTCACGGCCTTGGGCGTGCCAGTGTCGGGATTGTGGACGAGGATCGGCTCCAGGTGTGACCAGTACCACGCGCCCTTGCCCTTGACGGCCTTGCTCCTCACTAGCAGCAGTCCCTCGTAGCGCTTACGCATTGTCTTGACGGTGAGATCCTCGTCTCCGCCAGCGCCGCCGCCAGCCCCGCCAGCGCCGCTACCCCCTCCGCCCCCAATCGATCCACTCCCCCCTGCTGCCCCCGCCGCCGACCCCGCCCCCGCCGCCACCGTGCCCCCCCCTGTCGTCGTTGTGGCTGCCATGTTACGCTCCTCGTCCGCGGCTTTTCTCCTGTGTATTTTTTTTTTCCTTTCTTTTCTCGTATGTGCGCTTTTTTTTCTCCTCCTCCTGGGCTTTTTTTTTTCGTTGCTGGATCGTATCGAGGAGCTCGGCCCAGCAGGAAATTGGAATCACTCCCGGAGGAAGAAGAAGAAGAAGAAGAAAGAAGAAGAACTAGAACTCACAGCTGCTGCTCCAGCGTTCCCTTCCTCCTCAATTGGACCCCTTGCTCCGCCCCCGCGGCGGCGGAGCATTCTCCCATCAATGCCGGTGTGGCCAGCCCGAGATCGAGCGTCGCCGGGGGCCCGAGCTGGGGAGAGGAGTCCGAGATCATCGCCATCGCCATCGCCTCTCTCCCCCTCTTTCTCTCCCCCCCTCTTTTTCTTGTTCTAACTCTTTGCTTCTTCCTTGTTCCTGGGCTTTTAGATTGTAGAGAACTGTCCAAGCTTTCTTTGCTTGAGAGAGTGAGCAGTCGCGATTAGCACCCAATTCCCTTGGAACCAACTCTACAACTAGAACTATACTACTACCACCTATACCTAACTGTGTGTTCTTCTCTGGTGGAGTGACTTGGAAGACAAAACCCACAGGGCACACACCACCACCGCAGCCAGCGACATCAACAACCCCTCCCTATACCGAAAAAAAAAACACACACAACGCAACACAGAGAGAAAATTTCCTCTCTTTTTTCTTATACCAAATTAAATAATAAAGGAACCGCAAAAAGAAGGGGGTATTTTTGGGCGCTACGTCTGTAGGTACTTTTAAAAATTAGAATTAAGGGAAAAAAAAATGACAAAAAAGACCAACCAAGAAGACGGCCTAGAAAACGCACGCACGCACGCACGCACGCACATATACTGACAACTTGTACACGGAAACAGAGAATATATACATTTCGAGATGGGGTGGGTGGTAAACCCATGATAACCATTTTCATTTTAAAATACTCATTTTTCAAAAGGTTTTACAAAAAAGCAATTCCGGGGGTTGGTATTTTAATCGCCGAAAAATCTCTCGTATTATTGCGGTAATTAGTGTGCCACTTAACCTACGCGGTACGCATGCAACACAAAGGTCCCGTCCCGCAATAGAAAAGCTGCTTGAGTCCACCACCCTCGTGGTGGCCACGGTACGCGGTTGACTGGCCGGTGAAAAGTAAAAGGTATATTGGTATATTTTATTGATGCGTGTTTTTGGTTTTACTTTTTACTTTTCTCGCAAAACAGAAATAAAAAGAAATGTATTTCTTTTTCTCATGTGGGCGACGAACGACGACGACTGCATTTAATGCTTATTGTTAGCGGCCAGCTTAATAAAGCAAATCAATCCATGGCGAGCTTTTAATCGAGCAGAAGGCAGTTGCTTTCATGAATCCCCTTGTCAGTCTGCTAGAACGTTCGCCAATTAGCTTAAGCTCGCATTAACACCGCCTAATCCGCACCATCTTCCTAATACGCCCTTTCTGTTTGTCGCTAGACTCCGGCCCGGGAATATTCGCTCCCTTCGGTGGTGGTAAAAAAAGGATTAGTAGTGCGATGCGTCGATTCACATTCTACCTATAGAGACCACCTTTTTTCCTGCGAGAGTATCAAGCCCAAGATCGGGCTTTGTTGAAAATCTTGTACACATTGGACAGTGGGGTATATAAATTTATGATTCAAGCGGATTCCTCATACTGCAAAAACAGAGACGAAGATTTGTTTTAGGGGCCAAGAAAATCGGGCCACGTATTGTTTAGTCTTGTTTAGCTTTTGCTATATAAAAAGGACCATGCGTCTTCTACTAGCATGAACGTTATACTGGCCGGGCTGGCGGCTTGCTTGAAACCGAGCCCGGGAATCTTCCTTAATCAGGGAGAGAGCCAGCCACCAACCCAAAGCGAAAAAAAGAATTAAATAGGGAAAAAAAATGTTTTTTTTCTAATTTTAAAATGGCTTTGTAGTAGATGGAGTATATACTCAGATTCAGTGGCGTGTTGGCTTGTGCTCAGGAACGAAGCATGATCAAAATTAGCTTGCTTCCGACCGTTGGGTAACAGGGATGACCGCAAAACCACATCCACGACTCGCTGGAGGCCGCTAACTCGCTCGGATTCAACTCCTCTCCACTTTTTATACACAATCCGGACTTTTTCAAGCTGGATCTTGAAAATTTTGAGGCCGCGTACGGGCGGCCTCGGATCAACTGGCTGGAGGTGGCGAAGGAAAGAAGGAACTCATCATATGCGTTCCAGGCCCATGCAACTGGCATGGCGTCGAAACCGTACCACCTTTTCCCACTTAGGGCGAAGGCAGGAACGAAACCAGACGAGAAGACGCCAGCAAGCCAGCCACAACTACCAAAACAACCCCAATCAACGCAAACCAATTAAGCATTTGGTTCCAATGTATCTAAAGATTAGAGGGCTGACTCACAAGGACGGCAGCTACGGAAACCCTAAGAAAGCTCGTATAGATCCAACAGAAGTGGCGCAGCTCCAAGCAGCACGGAACGGGAGCAGGACACTGAGACTATCATGGGAAATCAACGGGTGTGTTAACTTCTTCCCTTAACTTGTCTCGCATTCTGGGCCGCCGGATGGATGATAGCGCTGCCCTATGTATATAAAAAACTACATTGTCGTAGTAGCAGTAGCTACTCCAAAGACAACCCATAACAACACACAACACAATCCCCTCGTGCTGCATCAATACTTCTTTCGCCTCTCTCTCCAAACTTTCTTTGCCTGCCTTTGCGCTCATTCATGGCATCTCATCATGCTCTGTGTCCAAACTAGGCAAGCTGTGGGCTTCAATTCCCGCTCGCTTCTAGTTCCAGAAATCAGTAGAAGTTCTGTTAGGTCAGAGTACAGTTTTTTAGGGCTCCCAAAAGGTGGGTTTCAGAAGGGTTTAACGGGGTTTAGTGGGGTTTAGTGAGCTTTAGACGGGTCTTTGCATCTTAGTTTGTGATGGTAGCTAGGCATGATAACCGTCGGGGACAAAACCGATCAGGGCCATTGAATTCGCAGTGTACATCCTTCTTAGACCTAGTTACCGTGCAGTACATGGTTTTATTTTCTTTTTATCTCCTTGTTTTTTTACCCGCAACGTTGACCCGATTCGGACTGGTATTTAAGTACTTATAATGATGATCCGATTTCCCCAAATCTGCTTCGGGGTGTAAACCAGCCGGAAGAACGTATGTATGAGAGCGAAAGCTTGTATGGAAACTCTCGGGTGCTCGCGTTCTTGTTTAGGTAGTGGTTTATTGAGAGAATCATGCTCTGTGGAAATCGAAGGCGGAGTATTATGTATCGCTAATGTAATCATACAGTATTTTCTTAGGCAATGATACTATACAATGCGGCTCCATCATACGGAGTGGAGACACTGGAGACACAATTTGGATGGGGAAATTTGCAACTCCACACAATCATGAAGGCCTTGTGGCGCCAATTAATAAGAGCGGGGTGGAGTGCATGATTCCTGTGCGAGTTTGTGTGTGTTTGCTAAGCTTGAATTTTAGTAACATAAGAAACTTTTGTAAGCTTGGATTAGTATAAAAGAAAAACGATGAAAACCAATTTTGGAGCGCATCCATACGTATCAAGTACTGTATTGTCAATTCTTTCCACCATTCACTTCTTTTCTTACTTTGCGTGGTGCCTTCCCACTCACTGGCGTCGTACTTTTAAATATCATTCTTTTTGACCATTGGCGCGCTCGTGGCACATCGCATTGCCACGTCATCACAGCCCAGGATTTTAGGGCTCCAAGAACGCGCTCGAAGGGGAGAGAGCAATGGCGAGCAGCACGGCGACGGTGGCGAGCGCCAGCGCCTTCCGCGAGGCGATCGATGCGATCCCCATGGTGAGATCTCCATCCGGCGACATTCTCACTAAGCAGTTCCTGGACGTTTGCCGCCTTGTCCTTCCGGTGATAGGTCAGTGCCCGCGCTTGCGAATTTCCGCGGATCTGACGCTCGTTTTCTGGGAATTTCTTGTGTAGACAAGTTTGGATCTGCGATGGCGATGGTGAAATCGGACATCGGCGGCAACATCGCGGTGAGATTTCGCAAATTTGGTAGAATGTAGGTGCTGATTCGCTTGCTACCAGCGGCTAGAGACGCGCTATAACGAAGATACGTCGGGCTTGTACCTTCTGTACGACATCGTAAGGAGGGAGGTCGACGAGAAAACCGCGAAGGGGTCCAAAAGCTGTAGCAATGGCTTGCTGTGGTTAACGAGGTACTCTTCTTTTTGAGTTCTCTCTGGTAGCTAGGCCTGGGCATGGTACTTAGATTAACTCCTTGGGAGAATTCAGGGCCATGGATTTTTTGATGAACTTGTTCGACAACCTCTTTCGTCATCCCGACTGGACCATGACACAAGCCTCGACTGAGGCGTACGCCGCCACGCTTAAGAAGTACCACGGATGGATTGCAAGTGGAGCCTTCACGGTGAGTATAGCTGCTGCACAGATGTGGCCTGGTTTGGTTTATGAGTTTTCGTTTCGTCATCCTCCATGAAATTCTGTGCAGATGGCGATGAAGCTGACGCCGGAAAGGAAAAAGTTCATGGAAATGCTCGGTGGTGGCGAAAGCTTGAGCTCCGACATAGAGAAGTTTGTGTCATCGTTCTCGCCTCTTCTCCTGGAGAATCATCAGTTTTTGGTATGGTTGATTGGCTAGAGAGTTTCTGTTTGTGACAGTGGCAATCTGGTGCTTTGCAGAAAAGCGTTGGCCTCGATGACATGAAGGCGGCCTAATCTGGAAATCGAGCAAATTCTTTTTATTTGACGCCGTGAAACTTTTTTGGTAGACGAAAATTTTGGCGCAATAACAGTACAAGGTTTTCTACGTTTGTTTGTCCTGCATTGCATTCTCGCATTTCACCGTCTGCTCAAAACACCAGCTTCATATTTGGACAGAACAATCTGTGGTATGTAGTTCGTTTTCCTTCTTTTGTTCGTTTTGGCCGACTGACTTCTAGTATTGAATGTTCAGGTAGAAATACGTTCCAGCCAGTATCGCAAGGCCGACAGCAATGGCAACTGGAAGCGCAGATCTGAGACAAAAAAGTTTACAGGAAAGTGAAGACGAGTCGATAAGCTCGTACCCGAGGTTGGAATTTGCTTTTTTGAGTTGCTCCTTTCGAGCTTTGCGCACGTCGGTGCTGTTTGCATTACGTGCAACAGGTTCGCCGTATGGTTTGAAGCGTCTCTTTGGAGCAAGACAGACTTTAACCAGCAAGCAGGATGTAAGAAAAAGCACGGAAAAAAACTTGAAGTTTGTTCTAACAAATCGCTACCTGGACAGGAGTAGTCGTTTGGAAGCTTTGAGAATGGCGTTCGATCGTTATAGATATACCTTCAAGAAAAAAATCCACGAAGCATAAGGTTCCTTCTTTCATTTCTATCTAGATGTTGGCTTTTTACCCGCAATCTGAGCAGATATACGCCTTGTTCGTGGCAACTCGCATTGAAATCCTGGACGCTGCCATGGTTTGAGCTGGAGCTAATCGAGAACCAGCATTGAAGAAGCTGCTCTTGAGAGCCCATCGATCGGTGCCCCGCAATCTAATGGAGCTACGAGTGCCGTGAGATTTGCGAGGAAGAACCTGAGAGAGCGGTGTGAGCGATGGCTGCTCGAGCGCCATGACGAGAACGATCTAGAAAAGAGAGAAAGAAGCGTGTGTAGTGTGTGTGGCTGGCATACTTCACCCCACCTGGAATCGAACTCGCGACCTTGTTCTACTTATTATTTTTTATGGGATTCGAACTATAGATCGTAGAGCAGGGTTTAGGGCGAAAACGTCAAGTCTTTCGATGCGCTCCGGGGTGATTCGTGGCTAGTGCTTCTCACCTAGCTCGGTCTGATCCACGCGCCAAAGCTTCATTCTCCTCATGGCCGACGGCGATGGCACCTATCGATCGTTCCGGCAAAACACCCGCGAGCGTGAGTTCTGTGATGAATTCCGGGATCTAGGTTTGATCGTCAGCTGTCTTGCGCAGGTCTTCTACACGAGATGCTTAGATCTGCCAAGAGCACCAAGAGCGCATCGCCTTGGAAGGTAAATCTTTGCGAAACTTTCAGTGGCAGAGATGTATTGTTGACAGGTTTTGATCATGGATGAGCTCACCGTGAAAGTGATGTCGAGTTCTTGCAAAATGGCGGACATCACAGACGAGGGAGTCTCACGTTAGTTTCTCGTGGTTGATTGTCTTGATCGTTTTTCTCTCATTTCCTTTTGCTTTTGTTTCGTCCAGTGGTCGAAGATCTTAACAGGCGCAGGCAACCATTGCCTGCTCTAGACGCTGTCTACTTCATTCAGCCTTCGAGGGAAAGGTTCGCATTTGGTCTTTGTTGCTTCGTTTCTAGATTGTTGGATTTGGTAATGCAGTGTGAAGAAATTTGTCTCGGATATGTCAGGAAAGTCTCCTCTCTACAAGAAGTAAGGTAGCTAGCGTCTCCTGCTGGATACTCACCCGGGATTTATTTCTGCTTTTAGAGCTTATGTGTACTTCAGCTCCACGTTGCCACGGGATCTTCTCAAGGCAATTAAAGAGGACAGAGCTTTGATGTCACGGATTTCTGCTCTTAGAGAGGTACAGCTTGATACTTGGCTGAATTGCTGCTGATACTTCTCTCACAGGTCAATCTCGAGTACTTGGCAATCGATATGCAGGTTAGTAATGGTCTCGAGTTATTCAATCATGTAATTGAAACATCTTGAGGGCAGGGCTTTGTTACAGACAATGACAGAGCACTACAGCAATTGTTTGGCGAGCAGAAGGAGCTCGACTTTGTCCTTGATACAGTTGCGCGGCGTCTGACCACAGTATTTGCCTCTTTCAGAGTATTGCTGTTGTTATTTCAAATCACTGTGTGCTCACTTTTTCTTTGCCACAGGAGTTTCCTTATATTCGCTACCGTGCAGCAAGATCGGCAGCAGCTAATAGTACAGCTGCAACTACCAATTCTGACTTACTGCCTACAAAACTGGCTGCATGTGTTTGGGATCGTCTTATGAAGTACAAGTCGTCTCTTCCTGATTTTCCTCAAAATGAGACGTGTGACCTCCTCATACTGGATCGTGCCGTAGATCCGGTAAGTATGGTGCTTGTCAGTTCTACCTACAAACCTGACGTTTGAAGCACAGATTGCTCCCGTGATACACGAGTGGACATACGAGGCCATGTGTCATGATTTATTAAGTCTGGAGGGGAGCAAGTATACATACGAGGTAGATGTACCAAAGTTCATGGTTTATGACACTAGCGTTTTTTCTTTTTTATAGATTACAACTAGCTCTGGTAAAAGAGAACAGAAGGAAGTTCTCCTCGAAGAACATGACCCTATCTGGGTTGAACTGCGGGATCTTCATATTGCTGAGGCAAGGTTTTCTTGCATTCAAGCTTTTTGTTATGCTAAGATTTTTATCTTCGCACAGGTAAGCGTGAAGCTGGACGAGAAAATGAAAATGTTTGCGAATAAGAACAAAGCTGCTGAAATCAAACTTGGAGGAAGGTAGTCTCTCTAGTTCTTTTATTTCTGAGTTTTATTAACGTCTTCATTTTCCAGTGGTCAAAACATGACAACAAGAGATATGCAGAAGGTTGTTCAGGCACTTCCACAGTACCGGGATCAAATTGAAAAGCTCAGCCTTCACATTGATGTCAGTATATGCCTTCTTTTAATTTTTTGCGATAACACTAGGCAATTGCAGATCGCTACAGCCTTGAACAGTAAAATAAGAACGCATTGTCTCAGTGATGTCGCAGAGTTAGAACAAAATCTAGTATATGGAGATGCTTCAAGCAAAGAGCTCATCAACTTTCTCAGCACGGCAGAGGTGCAAAATAAGAATTTCTTTTTACTACCATGGCTTGTTTTATATGATTCAAATCAGTGGTGTGGCAGAATATAAGTGCAGATTGCAAGTTGCGCTTATTGATGATTTACGCTGCCACTCATCCGGAGAAACTCGATGAATCGAAGAAACAACAATGGATGAAGGTAAATGATTTAACTTATCCATCAGAGGCGGATGTGATTGAAGCGGTTTGCAGCTAGCTAGATTAAGTGATGGCGACATGGCTGCGGTGTCCAATCTTGAGTACTTGGGGCTGTCTGTATCCAAAAAGCAGTCAGGGGGATTTGCTTTAAAGTTTTCAAAGGTACAAACGCCTCTTTGTTCTTCTTGTACTGAAGCCGATTCGTCCTTTTGCTCTTTAAGAACAAGAACCTGTACAGAAAGGAGAGGAACCAGGACGAGGAAGTATGGAAGCATTCCCGTTTTACGCCTCTACTCCAGGTTTGTCACCTTTGGTCGCTTACGACAAGTTCCCTGTAACGCGTTGTGTCTTGCAGGAGCTGGTGGAAGATATGGAGAAAGGCAAGCTCTCACTGGAAGACTATCCCTATGTGAAAGGGCCAAGCGAAGGCACTTCTGGAAAGTCTAGCAGCACGGGGTCGTCTAGATTGCCGACAGCACCACCAAATTCGAGACCCGCGCAGTCCATGAGAACTTCCAAGCCAGGCTCTACGTGGGCCTCGAGACCGCGAGCCTCTGACGACGGTTACTCAAGGTAAAAGGGAGCTAATTTTTATGGCTCTCACTGGTTTTTTCTATTCTCGCAGTGACTCTGTGTTGAAAAGCGCCCTGAGTGACCCCAAGATGATAACTGGGAAGCGCATTTTTGTGTTCGTGGTGAGCGGTATAACACACTCCGAGGTTGGTTTTCGTTGTTTACGTTCCTCCTGTCTCTAACTTTGGGTTTTGTTACTTAGTTACGTGCTGCTCACAAGTTATCCAGTCAATTGAAACGAGAAGTGGTTTTGGGATCGACTTGCATTGATGATCCTCATCAATTTGTCGCGGTAAGATGTTTCAGTCCTTTTAGCCTCTCCTACGACACTATTTTCTCACTTAGCTAACCTCGAATCCAACTTACAGAAGGTGAAGACCCTTAACGATATGGATATAATGGATTTCTGATATACTTAACATAGGTATGACTAGTTTCTTTTACATCCCGCGTTGTAGAAATAAACAGGGCCGATATGATTCTTTCTTCTTTTAACACTTCATCGCCTTTTTCTTACTACAAGGCACACACGAATTCTCCACTGCTGTCCACGTCTGGGTCTAAGTCGTTCTCCAAATCCATGTCGTCAAAATCCAGGCCCCCGTTGTCCAGGTACTCCCGAACGCCGGGAATCCTTGCCTCGGTTATGATCCGCATTATATCCTCGATGCTTTGAGGATGGCTTGGATCGTCCACGGTGCTCGTGCCAGCATCGCTCAGCTCCGATGGTAAGTTCTTGAGGAACCACGGGTGGTTCTTTATACCGGCAATGTTGATCCTCTGGAGAGAACAATAAGAAAAAGAAAGCGCTGTAAAAACCGGAGATGTGGCTAACCCAAAGTTACCTGGTTGGGATTCCCAACAAAAATGCGGGACAAGAGATCATGCGCCTCTGGAGAGATGTCCACCGATTGCGGGATGGAGTACTGGACGTTAAGTATTCTCTGCAAGAAGAGGAGGGAGTACTAACTCGATGAGAAGAAATCAAACTTGCAAAGCTTGTGCTCACTCCAATCGTCTTGCGAAAGTTTTTGGGATCCTCCGGGTCCTCGAAGGGGTAGGCACCGACGAGCATGACATACAGGGTGACGCCGCAGGACCATACATCTGCAATCTGAAAGGGATGATTGAATCACTGACCCACCTGCATCATCATCAGAGGAAGGACACTCTGCTCTGTGCTTCTAGAGAGTTGATAGTGCTGAGACTATGTAGCAACGCGGTGGGGTCTTACCTTCCCATCGTAGTTCTTGGTGGACAGCACCTCCGGTGCAATGTATGCCGGGGTTCCCACTGTTGACTTTGGCTGCGAATCAAAAACGGACGACTGCAAGGAGCACAAGCAGGATTGGATTAGCTCCTTCTGGAGTGATCGATACCTTTGAGTAGCCGAAGTCACAAATTTTGAGACGTGGAGCCGGGCTGCCGTCGAGTAGCGTGTTCTCCAGCTTTAGATCCCGGTGGCAGACTTCCTAGAGTACACTACACGTTAAGGAGACAAGTTTGGAGAAGAGAAGTGGAAATGTTACCATGTTGTGGCAGTAACTCACACCGGAAATTAGCTGCTGAAAGAAGAACCTTGCCTACGAGAAAAACGGGATTTTGATATACAAATTAAAAAAACCAAGGTAAAAGCAGAAAAAAAGCCAGCAATCACCTCGTCTTCACTAAATCTGGTCGCGTTGCAAATCCTCTCGAAGAGCTCACCGCCGGCAGCGTATTCCATGACAATAGCGAGATGAGTAGGCGTCAGCATGACCTGGTAAGAGGCGAGATAAGTCCGGGAGGAAAGCAGGAACAAAATGATCGCTATGGCGAAAAATTCCCCACCTCCTTGAAGCGCACGATATTGGGATGTCGCATTGAGCGGTGGTTGATAATCTCCCTCTGGACTTTCTCATCAATCTGGATCACAGGCACAAGAATTGGAGCCCAGATCACATATGCGCCGCGAGCTCACCTTGTCCCCGCGCTCAATGTACTTGACCGCGAACAATTCCTGTGTGACGCGATCGCGGACGAGCCTCGCCACAGCGAAATTTCCCGACCCTATGTCCCGCACCAGCTCGAAGCGCTCCGTGTCGTGGAGGAGCGGATAATCCGGACCAGCGGCGGCGGTGGCGCCCGCGGCCTCGCCCTCCACTCCGCTGTCGTCCATGGCGCCGGATCTGCGAGCCAATCCAAAAGCCCTAGCAGAAGCAAAAGCACTACCGCAGCGCACTTTGCCAGCGTATTTAGTGTATCTATTATTTTTTGGTTTTCCTTTTTCCCTTTCACCCTAGCAACAGCTCGTGGATTGTGGATAAGTAACTACCGGTAAAACGGGTGAAACGTTTGTATTCCTATTTATAGATATACTTTTTATAAAATACCGTATTTAGTGCTTATATTTTAAATACTTATTATAGTTTAAAGTGATGCTAAATGACAAGATTATAGTTATAGTTATGCTAACTGACAAGCTTAATTCTCAATCTTTGTTTCTTGTCGGTGCTATAACATGCCTTAACGTCCGCTGGGTGTCCATTTTATTTTAACAGGTTCGTACAGTTCTAGTGACGAAGTGTCAAGCACTTTTGATTTTACAAAGCTGATCAAATCGGAAGAAAGGATATGTATGGCACATGAATCACTGGCGCTTTGTTCTATCCTTGGTGGACAACATACACTGACGAGGATTCCTCGAGTGGAGCTAGTGGTAGCATTTGCTTCTGTGACCCTGGCTCGTCTTTCACGGCACTGGAGGATGGTGATCAAGGTGGGGCGAAATGGCGTGCTCACAGAGAAATTCTTCCTGAATTCTTTTGAAGGCCGACATGGCATTTGCTAACAGGAGAACTGGCAGTGAAACTCAGAACTTCAGCTTCCGGAGCATTTCTTTTGCGAAGTCACTGGACGTTTGTTTCGCTCCAACGATTGCATAAGTTCATTTCTCCGTTTCTCGTGAGATAGTCACCACTGAAAATTGTGGTAGGAGACGTATGAGGGGTTCAATAGAATCAAATCAACGTAAATACAAATCAATCATGGAGCTAGCCAAAGTCCACTCACGAATTATGATTGAGAGATTGAAATCTCGTTACATAGAAAAGAACAAGTCAAGAAAAAAGTGATGACTTTGCTCATATCTCTTACATCTGCAGTTCTTAAGGCTTGAGCGTCGAGCCTGGTCAGACTGGACGAAGAAACTGCAATGGACCTGATCTGGATGTGGGGCTGCAGCGAGCACTTCATGGGATGCTCTCGACGTTGAGAAGTCCTGACGATGTACGCTCACTGCAAACTCAACAGGAAGTTTGACAAGCTCCAGAGGGGATACGGAGCTGGATGAATTGATGAGGCTCTTCGAGCTCATGCCCACAATCACAGAGATTACCGTCGAACATCTGGAATGCAAGCACCAGATTGAGCGTTTCCCTTCTTCTGGAGCCCCTCGTCAACTTGCAAAATCGTCCATCTCGTCACCGGCTGGTTACAGGTGCGTGAAACACCTTCTATATTTTCTACCCTCTCCTAATCTTCTTCTTGTAGGCGCTCGAATCCTCGTGACTTACATGCACTTGATTTCCACCTTTGGTTGAATGCTGTCGATTATATTGGTGATATCTCTTTCTTGAGGGGCTTGTTCAAGCACCAGGGAGCCCGTGAACTTGTAGTCCATTGCTCTGATATGATCTCGTGGAGTTCTTCTTTCTGCGAATTCAACAGAGACAGTGGCAGAGCGTTCTTTTCGACTTGATGGTGTTCTATCCAGGTTGCATCTCCATTGCCGGCAAGTGAGATGAAAAACTCCAAAAGTTTTGCAGCATCTCATTCGTGATAGTTTAATCCAGTCGCTACTACGATCATACTCCTAGTTATGCTAAATGACAAGTTTTTAGCTTTCACTTACAATCTCAGGCTAGTGACAAAATGTCAAGCACTTTGATTTTAGCGCATGAATCACTGGCGCTTTGTTCTATCCTTGGTGGACAACAAGAGAGGCTGATACACTGACGATGATTCTTCGTCTTGCGCGGCGCGTTGGCTGCTAGAAGTGCTCCCACTGCTCGTAGCACTGGCGGCATTGGAGCTAGACGTAGCATTTGCTTCTGTGACCCTTGCTCGTCTCTCCCGGTACTGGAGGATGTTGATCAAGCTGGGGCGATAGAAGAACCGGAAGAACTTGAGAGCCGCGATGGGTCCAATCCCGGCGCCAACAATCAGCTAAACAAGCACAAGAAAAAGAGATTTATAAGCGTGGAAGCAAAAGAACGTGAGAACAAACGCTTACCAACATCGTGAGCCAGTATGCACGCTGGCTGCAAATGCGAAACATGATAGTGTACATGCCTCCCCATTTCACGGTGCTTGCCACCAGGTTGAAGATGTAGAAAGCGACGAGGTTGCCGCCGATGGCTATGTGCTGAATGGTCGTGAAGGAACTGCAAAAGGCGCGACGAGATCGTTGCCAGGAATTTGATGGAATGCTGATTACCTTGTTTCCAACGCGACGACGAATGCTTGGAGCCAGATGCAGCCCGATAGCGCGACAAGAGAGACCTCCTCCATTTCGCTCTTTTCATTCACGTAGACGTGCATGGTGATGAGAAAAACCACGGCGCCCTGCAAAACGAGAGCAACGATCACGGTTTATGTGGTTAAAGACGAGCCTTACGTGAAAAAGTGCCCGGCCAAACCAGCCAGCAAATGTGCTGGGATTTAAAAGCCTGAAACTACAAGTTATTGACAATGAGAGCCACCGCCAATGCCTTACCTCCCGGCTTGACAGTATTTCAATATCTGGGGATGTTGAAGGACCGTCTTCTCGTCGATGTCCTTGTCGAGGACGCTAGCCATCACAGGGACACTAGTGTACAAAACATTGTAGGCCATCAAACTGAAAGAGTTGAACAAACTCGTCCCAGATATTCCTGACACGAACGAGAAACTAGAGGAAAAAACAACCAAAAAAGGAAAAGCATCAGCGAAATCCGATATGCAAAAAAAAAAAAAAAAGCTTACAAGATCTGAATGAAGCATAAGACCAGTGATTTGTAGATTGAGTACTGTGACAAAAATGCGCTCCTATTATATGAGTATCTCCCATGTACAAGTATCAACCGCTTCAAAAATCGAAATTCTGCGAGCACATAAGATGTTAGAAATATTGCAGCTGTATCCAAACTACTTACTGGCGAGACTGTAATCTGCTGCTCTAGCTGCCTGAAGGCCTTCACGCCCGCTTATCCCTACACCAACATGAGCTTCTTGTATCATGCGGACATCGTTCCCTCCATCTCCTATAGCGAGAGTTCTGAACTCCCAGCTTTTTACTAAATGTACAAGCTGCCAGAGACATGTCACTCAAGAAAGCATAAGAATATTTTTGATTTCGAGTACCTGAGCCTTTTGTGACGGTGTTACACGGCAACAAATAGCAGTTCTGCATAGTGAAGCCAGCTCAGCGAAAAGTTGTCTGTAGTACTTCAATGCAAATTCCAGTGCCAGTCCATCGATAACAAAGGCTACATCCTGATACTAAGAGAACATTAAGCGCGATGCTCATAAAAGTAGACGAGCACCTTATGTTCAGTGCTAGATATCTGCATAGTTCGCAAGACCCTCTCCAGACTCGCTCCAACGTCACTCTGGGTCGCTCCTTGCACATACAGTAATTGTCCCTGAGGTTCTGTAAAGTAGAATTAGCATTAGATACTCCACAAAAACACCCATCCTACCCGGAAGCACGAAGTTGCACGAAAGTGCAATCTGAGCTGCTGTCAACTGCTTATCTCCCGTCAGCATCCAGAAATTGATTCCTGCATCTCGAAGGCTTTCAATGGTCTCCGCAACACCGTCCTGAAACACGCCTTATGTAGAGAAAATATATAATCAGACAGTGCTCACTTGTAACTTGTCCTCAATAGCTGTTGCACCTAAAAGCTCTAGATTACGTTCCATAAGCACGCACACTTCCGCAATCTTCCACTGAACAAGACAAATAAAATAAGATCACAAAGTTGTTAAAGGTCAAATACAGACCTCTCGATCCACGATGCTGCTGCTCGCTTCTTTAAACTTCCTCGACCAGTCATGATATTCCTCCTCTCGGATATCTCGCCAAGCCAGACATAGCGTCCTTAATCCCATCTGTGAATACTGATCGACAATCTCCGCGACACGCCTTACTTGTTGGTCTGTCAAAAAATTAATCTTAGTAAATAGATGCGTCGAGGTCGATTACAAGAGCTCACCATTATGGACTGAAGAAAAAATTGCTTCGTCAGCTCCCTTTGTTAATAGCTTCAGCTCGCCAGTCTGCCTCTCTCTTACAATTACTGACATCTTCTTACGGTCGGACGTGAATTCTAGCACGTCAAGAATGTCGAACTCCAATACCGCTCCGAGTACACTGACCTCTATAACAAACCTCAATGGTGTTAAAATAACTATGAGAATATCATCTAAATATCAGTTACCTACACAGTTAGCAGCCTTGTTAAGCAGCACGACGCGAAGATGAGAAGCAGCTGAAACAAGAGCTTCTTCGTCTTGAGATTGAGCTTTGTATGAGATCGAACCGTTTGGACTGAAAGTGAACGACAAGGTTTAGATTAAATCCTATATTTTATGCGTACCTTCGACTTGGCACCACCGTGTTACAAACTGCCATAACTGTAAGAAACTTGAGTACTTCTGGATCATTTTCGTTTAGCGCACGAAGAAGAGCAGGATCTACACAAGATTCTTGCTTAAAATTTTGTATAAAAGAATGAAAATACCTTTGACAGCATCACGGGTTGAATCACCGTAGCAGGAGCCTTTTATGCAGCATTTCTTGAACACCATCAAATTTTCGGTCAATGTACCCGTTTTATCAGTGAGAATATATTCAATTTGACCAAGATCTTCACTGATGGCCGTACTGCAGCATTGAAACGTTAGATTATAATTTTAGAAAAAGAGTATGCAAGACAGCTTTCATACTTTGTAGCAACGGCTGGAGTATCCGTTTTCTCATCGTACATATGAAGATCCCAATCAATAAACTTGGCGTACATGCTTTTTGCCAAATCCAAGGAGACCTGACACGATACATAAGGATATCAACATTATACAGCGAAAACATACCTTAATTGAAATGGGTATCATAATCGAGCATAAAAGTTCAAACCTTAGGGGAATGACAATAAACTCGTACCAAGGGGCAGCTTTCGGATAATGGACGTACCACAGCTGCAAAGCTGACAATTTAGAGCCCACGAAAGAAAAAATTGTGCCAACCTTGTCCGCCTCAGTGGACTTCCACGCGTTTCCGGCGAAACCAAGAATGATAACCACAACCACTTGAAATACAAAAATGGCTCCGGTTAGCTTATCAATCATCGCATCGACTGCTGTAAGTTTTGGCGATGGTAAACCTCTGCTCATCCCAAGCTTAGTCTCATTGCCTGTAAAGAAGGTTTGTTTTCGTTAAGCAGATTAAAAAGAATACCTGTATACACAGCCACTCCACATGCCCACTCAGTGTTTCTAATGAAACAGGATTGCAACAACGTGTTGTTGACAGTGATTGGGAAGTAGTCCGTGTCGATAAAAGGAGGAAACAACCTCAGGTTGGCGTCAAATCTTCGAATATCTCTGTCTGGATATCCGCATTCAATAATACCCTTAAGATCAAACATATGTAAGTTCCTAAAAAGACTAAGAAGAAAGTTTCTACCTTGATTTTGTGAAGGAGCTCGGAGTTAAGCCCAATGCAAGGAGACGGGACAACTCGGGTCTTCAAATCAGTTTCTCCATCAATGGTTGACGTCTGAAAAGAGAGAAGAAACAGAAGAGATCCAAGAGATCCAAGAAAAATAAAAACAGCCAATGTACCTCAATGTAGCAAACACCTTGAGGATCTGACGATCCCAGTAAGATCATATCGCACGGAACTTCATCCTTTTCCCGCAACCAGACGATGTCACCGACATGAATATCTTGCGCTTGGATCTATCAAAAAATAGTTAGAGCAAAAACGTTACAAAACACTGTAGTTTCTCACCCGTGTCTTGACGCCTTTCTTGACGACCCAAACCATCCTCTCATTTGCTTGCTTGTCCAGCTTATATCGGTTATAATCGTCCCAAGCTTCCTTACACGCCGAGACCGAGAAGATGAGTAGCAAAGGCCCCCAAGTGCTGGCTGGATTGACGGGAGTGATGAGAGGCCAGAGCTGGAGGATCGCAATGAGAAGGAAGTACTTGTTCATGAATCGCCTGAATCAAACAAAAGAATCATAGAATGCCGGTCTGATAGCGTGAAGCTTACCCGAATTGCTCCCATAGATTCTTGGGAAGGAAATTCCAGAGATTATACTTGGTGTTGGATACCCTGTTGTTGCAATAGAGATCGGGATAGCGATCCCCTTCGTTGATGTAGACGCAGCGGCCGCTGTTCTTCTCTTTGTTGCTGGAATCCCTGGAGATCCGGGGAGGCCGCGCATCCTCCTCGTCCTCCTTGATCTCCGCCATGCGCCTCAGGAGCTCCACGGACATCCACCAGACCTAGCTCCTCCTCCCACGCGCATTGAGTGGACTTAGTAAAATATTTAGGGTTTATAGAAGCTATGGGGTCGTTGCAAGCGCGCAGGAGAGCGCTAGGCTTCGCATTCTCCGGCCGAGCGAGGATCTTCTCGACGCAGGCGAGAATTTCGAGCTCGCCGCCGGATGGCCGGGCGCTGCATCCTGCATTGCTGCTGGCAGCTGTGAAGGAGCCAGGTTTGATCGATTGGAAGCGTGCTGCTCGTTATATTTTGTGATTCTTTCAGGCCATTTTCGCAGCGATGCGTTCGAGCGGACTTCTTTGCTGCGAAACCAGCAGGTAAGTGCGTGGATTGGAAGCCAAGTCATCGATGCTTAGCGTCTATGTTTTATATTGTAGATCACGTATGGTTTCTCGGCTGGATCTCTCTTCGACACTACCGGCTTGCTAAATCCTGGTAAGATTGCTGAGTGATGATGATCATGCCCATTTTCCTTCTTTCTTTCTGGCAGTGTTGATGGCCGATCTTTCCAGCCAGCAAGTGGAAACTCTCGATCAAGTAAAAGTCTATCTTCTGTTTGCTCAGAAAGCTCGAATTCACAGTTTTCCTTTAGATTCCGCAAGCTGAAACGAACAAAACTCTGGAACTCAAGCCGACTCTGAACCAGCTCGTCAGAGGCGCACGAAAGAAAAAGAAGAAGCTCTCCAAATCCCCAGCTCTGGGAGGAGCACCACAGAAGCAGGGAGTGTGCCTCCGCGTCTCCACCAGGACTCCAAAGAAGCCCAACTCGGCTCTTCGGAAAGTCGCCAAGGTTCGTCTCTCCAATCGCAACGTTGTCATCGCCTACATTCCAGGCGAGGGCCACAACCTCCAAGAGCACTCGGTGGTGCTCGTCCGGGGAGGCCGAGTGAAAGATCTTCCCGGTGTCAAGTACCACTGCATCAGGGGCGCGAAAGATCTCCAGGGCGTCGCAAACCGGAGGAAAGGGCGATCGAAGTATGGAACCAAGAAGCCCAAGCCCGTGGACAAGAGCTAGCAACTTAGCAAGAGATGACGAGGAGGTTCGTAGTTTCTTCTCTTGTCTTTAAGAACTTATCAAATCACAGGTGTTCTACCCAAGACTGCTCTCACGTGTTCTTTAGATTCACCCAAGACTGCTCTCAGGTGTTCTTTCGATTTATCCAAGACTGCTGCTATTTAGAGCTCCATGTCCACTATAAACTTGGATCCTCAAGGGATCGTTTTGGAACTCGATCGATCACAGGAGTTTCAAGGCCTTCTTCTAGATGGGTTTAACTGATCTGGCGGGAAAGCTTGGAATTTTGAAATTCCCTCGAGGAAGAGCGTAGGAGCCCTAGATCAGGGGTTATTTAGGGTTTTGGTGGAGAGCGATGATGGGAGCTGTTGGCGCTGGCGCTGGACGGGAGCTCACATCGCCTCCGCCCGACGGCATTTCCAACTTGCGCTTCTCCAATCACAGCGATCATCTCCTTGTTTCTTCCTGGGATTCCGTAAGTTCTTCCTCTCTCCCTACATTCTTTTCTCTTTCTTTTTGCTACAATGTGGATCTTTCCGTTGGGCAGAAAGTCAGGCTCTACGATGCCAGCGCCAATACCTTGAAGGGCCAGTTTGAGCATAGGGGACCAGTTCTAGATTGCTGCTTTCACGACGATGCCTCGGGTTTTAGTGCCAGTGCAGACTACACTGTACGAAGGTAAAGAGATCTTTCTTGAGTAGCTAGCTATCTCGTGTGCTGATACTTGGCTCACAGGTACGATTTCAACACAGGCAGAGAGGACATCTTGGGTTCTCACGAGGCGTCTGTTCGCTGTGTAGAATACTCCCATCATACAGGTACTCTAGATCTTGGTAGTCGTTTCCATTGTCTCAAAGTGTTTCTTTGTTTTGGTTCTTTGTCTTTCCAGGCCAAGTTATCACAGGTAGCTGGGATAAAACTCTCAGATGTTGGGACGCCAGAGTTTTGGGAAACAAGCCACCAGTTGGAACATACCAGCAGCCAGAGCGCGTCTACTCCATGTCTCTCGTGTTCCCGCACCTGGTGGTGGCCACCGCGGGCAGGCACATCAACGTTTACGACTTGAGAAACATGTCTCGCCCCGAGCAAGAACGAGAGTCATCTCTCAAGTATCAAACGCGATGTGTTCGTTGCTATCCCAATGGAACGGGTAAGAAGAGCCGAGAAAAAAATAAATTTCCGAGAGTCTTGGAGATTCTTACCAAACGTACCAAACGTTTCTGGACTAACTTTTCACTGCAGGCTATGCGCTAAGCTCCGTTGAAGGCCGAGTTGCTATGGAGTTTTTTGACATGTCTGAGGCTGGGCAAGCGAAAAAGTAAGTTATTTTTTTTTCTTCGAACTTCTATCACGCAGTTTTCATTGACAATTGTACTGTCAGGTATGCTTTCAAGTGCCACAGAAATTCCGAGGCTGGCCGTGACACAGTCTATCCCGTTAATGCCATCGCTTTCCATCCAATGTGCGTGAGTCTAGAGCTTTGGTTTGTTTTGTTTTCTAAGCTCGTTCGTTCTTCCATTGAATTGCTAGATATGGGACCTTTGCGACTGGAGGCTGCGATGGATACGTAAACGTATGGGACGGGAACAATAAGAAGAGGCTTTATCAGGTTCGTCTCTCCCTTTCCAATCGTCCTTTGATAAAAATCCGTCTTTGTAGTACTCGCGATACCCAACAAGCATAGCCGCCCTCTCGTTTAGCCGCGATGGAAGGCTCTTGGCGATTGCGTCGAGCTACACCTTTGAAGAGGGAGAGAAACCGTAAGAAACTTACATTCGTCCAATCTAACCTCTGGTACTTACTATCGTGAATCTCCCCTCGCAGGCACGAACCAGATGCAATCTTCGTGCGCAGTATCAACGAAGCTGAGGTGAAGCCCAAACCCAAAGTGATCAACCCAGCGGCGTCATAGTAGCACCACCACCAGAGTGATTCTTTTCTCCTTGCTTCGTCTTAGTCCTCGAGAAGAGCACAGTGAGCACTGGAAGGCGCCCAAGTAAGACCGCCAACTTTCGTGCTGTTCTTGGCACCTCGCCAAATGCATTCCCACTGGAGCACCAGTGGGTGATGGTTTCTAATCCCTTCTCTTCCGATGTCGAGCTTCCAGACCTCGGTGGGAGCTCCAGAGATGACGCGGTGATTCACAGAGTCTACCTTGATCTTCCCAGTGAATCCATAGAGCTGCGCTCCATGGCCGACGAGCCGGCTAAGCCTTGCCGGGAGCTGCCCGGCCACGTCCCAGCTCTCGAGCTCCGGATTGAAAGCCTTGAGCTGGAGATCCTTCCAGTCCGCCACGAAGATCGCCGCCCCGGACGAAGCAACCGGGCCTCGCGTCAATCCGGCCTTGAGCTTTGGCACCATCCGGTTCCACTCGTCGCCGCTGGGATCATAGACCTGTGCCTCGATGGGCGATCCAGCTCCTTGGCAATTCTCTCCCTTGACGAACACCTTGCCTTGGTGCTCGATCCCCACGCATGATCTCATGGCGCGCTTGAGCCCGGAGATGGTCGTCCAGGAGTTCTCGCTGGGGACGAACACCTCGGCGGACGTGCCGCCAGCGACGTAGACGCGGCCCCCTACTGTCACCGCAGCGGAGTGGGATCGAGCGATTCCCATGGGCGCCATCTCCTCCCAGCGGCAGTGGCAGAAATCATACCTGTGGACGCGGCTGGATGGGATCCGGCTCTCCTCCCCGCCGATGACGAAGAGATTTCCATCGGCCACGGCGACCGTGTCGATCCGCCACCAGTCGTATGGATCGATGCGGATTGCAGGGTCTGGATCTTCGTCGTCGATGCTGTGAGGGAGCGGTGGGAGGGAGAACCACTGGCAAGTGACGGTGTTGAAAACCCTGACGCGATTGCCGTGGATCACGACGCAGACGCTGGCTTGCTGCTGGATTCTTGGCAAATGCCGGCGCTCCGAGTAGAAATCCGGCGAAGAGAGGAGTGATCGCCAGGATTTGCTCACGAGCCTGTAGGAGAAGGAATATTTCACGCACGGCAAGCGCATGAGGCAGAGGCGGGCAACGTCGTCGGGCAATCCTGGAATGAGTGACGAGGAGGAGCAAGGAGATTCTCCTCCGGCAATCGCAAACTGGAATCCATCGCAATCTTCCTCGTCTTCCTCATCTCTCACTGGCTCGAGATTTGCTCGCCGCAGCCTTCGTTCTTGCTCTGCGCAGGAGAAATTCGGGCTGTTGGAGACGTAGCCGATCCATTTGGTGTTGCATGGAGCAAGATCCTCCTTCCTTTCCCTGTGGCTGCCACTCCTGATCGGCCTGCTCGCTCTACATCCCATATCTCCCCCTCAAGAACCCTAACCTCACAAAAGCCCTAGAAATGCGAGGACGATTCTTCTCCTGATCTCCAGCGATGGCGTCGTGGCTGTCATCCAAGCTCAAGGCCGCCGAGCAGCTCCTCAACCAGGTTAGATCTAGATCCCGTGTAGAAATTCACTTCTTCCTTCTCTCAGATCGATCAACAAGCCGCGGACTCGCTCAAGAAGCCAGACAGGGATTCACAGGAGCCGGATCCTCTCTTCCAGGCCCCGATCCAGCATGAAATCCTCGGCAGCGCACCGCATCCGAAAATATTTGGCGATCCTCTCGTCCCGAGCAACAAGATCACATATCGCTCTCCAGATTTCGCTCCCTCTGGCGCTGCTCGCTCCTCATCCTCGATCCAAGGGAGCTCTACTCCTCCGGAGAAGGACGATTGGACGGAGATACTGTCCGCGGCTGGGAATTCCGGGGATTGGAAGAGGCCGGCATCGAGAGAGAAGATTCAAAGGAGTGCTCCAGCGGCTGAGAGTAACAGTAGAAGGCCGAGAAAGCTCCTCGCAGCGCCAGCGAAGAGAATCAATGCCCCCAAAAAAGCGGTGGCAACACAGGAGCCTAACTCTAATGGCCAGGAGTTAGTGTCAAGCGAAAAACTCGAGAGCAAAGAAGAAAACAAAGAAGGGGAAAGCGTGACGAAGGAGGTGGTGGACACTAAAGAAGATTTAGTTGGGAGTGTTAACGATACCAGCACGAAAGAGGACGAGGATGCGATTGATCCGCCGACGTCACTGGAGCAAACCGAGGAAGAACTCTCGGCTTGCAGGGCTGCAATCGATGAGCGTGCATTGTTTGTCGAGAAGCTCGAGGCAGAGAAGCAAGCTTTGGAAGCTTTGCTGGACGAGCGAGAAGAACAGCAAAAGAAGGAGGTATGGCTTTTCTTTCTTTTTGGTTTTCTTTTCTTTGAGAATGAGTAAGTCATTACCAGGCTGCAGAGCTGAGGACGAGCATGGTGGAGCTGATCCAAGCAGCGGATTTGGAAAAGCGACGCCATAGTCATACGAGGATGGAAGCGCTGGAGAGAGAGTCCCTACTTCAGGTGTGATGCTTTAACTCGAGCTTTGTCACTCTCGTGAATCCGTTTTGTGCAGAACGAGAGTGTTGAGCTTGCTCAATGCCTGGCTGCCGCACAGAGAAAACTCGATGCAGAGGTTTGGTTTTCCTTCAAGAGTAGCTCATATATATTTTAGCCTCAGCTTGCAGGACTTACGGATGCTCGTACTAAGCTGGAGCTCAAGAGAGTTTCCGTGTTTGGTGAGTAGGAGATATTGCCTCTTGAGAACTTCGCACTAAAGGTCTCACTTTCAGAGCTTGAGAGGAAGGCTTCACGACTTCGGTCGACCTTGGCAAATCCTTCTAGTTCTTTTCTTCCTCAAATCAGCAGTGACGTCTTTAAAGAGAAGCAAAAGGTTGCTGACGACATCGATTACTATAAAGCTCAGGTTTTCATTCTTGTATAACTCCATGCTGTAGGCACTCATTTTCCAGATTTCAGGTAGAAAACCTCCAGGCAGAAATACATGCGTCAAGAATGTCCCGGCAAATGCAGAGTGACAAGGAAAGAGAACTAGAGTCCCGTTTGATAGCACGGACCGATCATCTCATTCACACGCAAACTCAAGTAAGCCAAGGCTTGTGATTCCACTTCATTGATTACAAAACGCGGTGGTACTCTTTCCAGGTTGAAGCGCTATCAACTGAGAAAGCCACGCTGATCTTTCGTCTCGAGGTAGAGCAGCACTAAAAGCACACCAAATTCTTACAGCTTTTCTTTCTCTTTCACAGGCATACTCGTCTCAGGAGAGGGCCTCGAAAACGAGAAACGAGAGCTCCGACATCGAGTTTGGACCAACTGCAAGTGGTGACGAGCTTATAAGCTGGAGCGAGATTTCCAGTAACCTCGACTCCCTCTTCATTCAAGGTACCAGAGTGTTGGGCATGAACAGGACTGTGAGGTCTCTAGCCGCGGCATACTTCTTCCTGCTGCATCTCTGGGTCGTGTTCATCATTGTCAAGCATGCTCGATTCTTGCACAGATGAGAAGGAAAAGAATTCTCTTTCTTGCTACCATCAACTTCTTTCCCTGACAAGAGTTAAAACCAACGCTACGAAAGAATTTCCTTCCTAGTCAATCCTCCTCCTTTACCTCTCGTACTGTTACAAGATGCATTTGCTCATCTCTCGCATCGGTATGAACGGTAGCATTTCTTCGCCAAACAGATCAACCAGTGAGTTGATGAGATCGCCCACCTCCACATCCTCCTTCCACGCCTCCGACAAAGCTCTCCTGCGCCTCTTCACGCCTTCGTCCTTGTCGTCGGCCCCGTCTTCCTCGTGCATTGATGCGTCCCCGTCGACATCTTTGCGTGTTGTTGATTGAGACTTGTTGTTAGCTGGTTTCTTCCTTGAGGGAGGAGCGGACTGGAGCATTTCATATATACAGTTTCCAGCCGCCGCCTGTGCCATACGTGAAAGTGAGTTTCCAGTTCAGGCTTGGAAAAATAAATCTACCTGAAGAGCTCCGTAGACTCTGATGGCTTCGTATCTCTTTAGCTCGTTTGCTTGATCTTGGGAAGACATTTCTGGCAAGAGCAAGTTGATGTATACTTCCAGGTTGGGAAGAATCAATAGTCGCACCTGTAAGAAGACTCTTAGTTCAGTCACCGTTTCATTGTCGCATAAAAGCATACCAGTTTTGAGCCAAGAGCTGCGATTCCTTTCACAGCACCATAATGTTGTGTCATTGCTCGTTTCGGATCCAAGAAGGCGTGGAGTAAAGTTTTGGTCACGCGCGTTTGCAAGTTATAATACGCATGACCGAAGCTGCAAGTAACAAAAGTTTCAGCCACTCCAGAGAAAAACAAGAAGAGATGAGTTTACAAACCGTTTGCAAATGAAGGCAATAAGTGTGGCTGTGAAGTCCCGGAGCTCCCAATGGTTGACGAAATTCTTACCACCCAGGCGCTTTGCAACGAGGCACGTCACCACAGATGGCATCAACTGATGGAGCTGCCATTCAGCAAGCCTAGACTTATCACTCGCACCATCATCAGAGCAAAACAAGTGCTTACATAAGGCTCGATATGGATGTGTGGATTCAGTAGCAGGCTGCGAGCAACGCGCATCAGAGAGAAAAGGAGCGGCAAGTCATTAAGCCCCCGTGTTACCTACATTGGACAAAAACGAAAAATAGAACTGAAACTTCAGCACTTTCGTGATCATGTGAATACCTCGTCTGCAATAAATTGCGTGAAGTATGGTACCAAAGGGTGTAAACCGGAATCAGTCGCCAAACTTGCAAAGACGTCTTTTAGTAGCACATCGTCGGCGCCAGTGACAATAAGCTCCGTGATCTTCTCAAAGTATAGCTGCCCAGAGTTAAAAAATGAAAAATTTAGCAAAAGAACGACCGGTGCAATTTCCATCGTACCTGAAGTTCTCTAGAAAGAACATGTTTGACAGGAAGCTTCAGGTCCACTGTCATCTGATCAGGCTTCAATCCAGGAATGTCGGATTTCTTCACTTCCGGCGGAGCTGAAAGAGCTGCAACAGGAGTTATCATATTCCATTCACGAGGAAAGCAAACCACTCACGATCAATAGGAACGTTCTCAGGAATGGCGGGTTGTATTCCCTCTATTGCTAGCCAGTGAGCCATGACGGCCGTGTCTAGAGGTGCTTTCGTCAAAGGAGCCTCGGTGATCTAGAGAAAAATTTGTTAGATCAGAAGAAAAGGAAAACAAAAACGAAAAAGTACCTCTTTACAGTCGAGCTCCCTATCATCTATGAAGAACAGATCAGAGTGACCAACAGCTCTCCGGAAGCGCAATGGATCTCCAGAGGCAAATCCATAGAGTGGCTACATAAAAATGCTAAGCAACGAACTCACGAGAAATTCGCAGCTCACCTCTACATTTCTCAAGCTCAAGGCCGTATTGACATCGTCGGTGGTGAGAACGCTCCTCTTCGAGTGGCGCATGCACTTGATCGCCTCCTGGCAGCGCAAATTACCGACGATCTCAGCTCAAAATCGGCGAAATCGGTAGATCGAGGGAGAAAGAGACCAAACCTGCATGATCTCGCGCATCCGATACTCGACATCCGGCGCAAGCGCCGCGGCGACATCATCGTGGAGATTGCTGATGCCAATGCTCTGCGCGATGACATGAATCGTCTCCTTAGGGACGATGCTCATCGCGCGCGCTCGTCGAGGGCAAAAGCCCTAAAATCACATAAACCCTAAAACCACAGGCGATTGGGAATGGGTGAAGGAGCCGTCCAAGCCCAAATGGAGGCGCTCACGCTGGCCACCAAGAGCGGCATCGAGTGGGCGAAGTACTCCCATCGCGTCTTCATCAAGAGCATCCTAGGTCGCCCGGATGGAGGCGCGGGACTCCTCGGCCACAATGTGAGGGTTGGGGGATGGGTCAAGACCGGGCGGAGCCACGAGAAGGGGCGGCTCACATTTCTGGAGCTCAACGATGGCTCCTGCCCCGCGAATTTGCAGGTAATCTTCTCTTTGTCGCTTGGAGCTCGATCCGAGAGATTTACTGTTCGTCCGCGATTTGTTAGTTTTGAGAGCTTGTTCTGTGAAAAGCTGGTTTCTTTTCTAGTGTTTCTTGTTCTTCGTTTTCAAATTGTGAGAAAGGTTGCCAGTTTTTCTTATCGTGAGTGGAAAGCCATTTGCAGTCTTTGTCGCTTGGAGCTCGATCCGAAAGATTTTCTTCTGTTCGTCCAGCTGCGATTTGTGTTTTCGGAGAGCCTGTTCTGTGTAAAGCTTGTAATTTTTTTTTTCTCTTGCTTGTTCTTCGTTTAAGTTGTGGGAAAGATTGCTAGTTTGTGGGTGGAAAGCCATGATGTGTGCGTTAGTGTGTGACTTTTTTCTCTTCTTTCTTTGCAGTACGATTGAAAGATAATTTCCTTTTTTCTGTTTGCCTTCGTGTGATCCAGGTGATTGTCGAGGATACAGTGACGCCGGATGCGCAACTTATCTACACTGGAACATGCCTCGTGGTCGAGGGGGAATTGACGCAGCCTCCCGAAACTGCAAAGAAACAAAAGGTGGAGCTGAGAGCTCAGAAGGTGCTGGAAGTTGGACCTGTCGATGCTTCCAAGTATCCGATCGCCAAGGGCCGGCATACTCTGGAGTTTTTGAGGAACTTGATGCATCTCAGATCTCGAACAAATACGGTGAGTTTTATTTCTTTTTGTTGCTCGTTTTGACGTAATGTTGGAACTCCAGATTTCTTCGGTTGCAAGGATTCGCAACGCTCTTGCATTCGCCACCCACACATTTTTCCAACAGAATCGATTCGTGTACGTCCACACTCCGATCATCACCACCAGCGATTGCGAAGGTGCTGGCGAGATGTTCCAAGTTACAACAATGTTCTCGGAAGCTGAGAAGCGAGAGAAGGAGCTCGCAAGTACCCCGGCTCCGACTGAAGCGGACCTTGAGCAGGCAAAGGCAGAGGTTACGAAATGCGGAGAAGCAGTGAAAGCGCTGAAAGCCGAGAAGAAGAGCAAAGATGAAATTGCTGCGGCAGTGTTGAAGCTTCAGACCGCTAAAGACGAGCTTGCGAAGGTGGTCGAGCGGATGAAGCTTACAGGTGGAATTCCTAGGAAGGACAAAGGAGGATTTGATTACACTGGTGATTTTTTTGGACGTCAGGCCTTCCTGACTGTCTCCGGCCAGCTCCAGGTGGAAACGTACGCATGCAGCTTAAGCAACGTTTACACCTTTGGCCCGACGTTTCGTGCTGAAAACTCGCACACAACGAGGCATTTGGCGGAGTTTTGGATGATCGAGCCGGAACTTGCTTTCGCGGATCTCCAGGTGATTGAAAATCTCCAGAGAAATTTGTATCTGTTCTGACATATGTGGTCATATCCTTTTACCAGGATGATATGAATTGTGCTGAAGACTATGTGAAGTTTCTATGCCAGTGGCTTCTGGACAACTGCTACGACGACATGGAGTTTATGACCAAGATGTGGGACAACACGGCCCTGGATCGACTGAAACTAGTTGCTTCTACGCCGTTTGCGAGGATCACGTACACACAGGCCATCGAGAAGTTATTGGAGGTTTGTTAGTTTTCTTTGTTCTTTGTTGGAAGGAAACTTACACTTGCAGATACTCAGGTGAAGGATAGAACCTTCGAGAACCCTGTTTCATGGGGAGTCGATCTGGCCTCCGAGCACGAAAGGTAGCAACCATTTAACGTGAATTTGCCTCACAGCGCATTCTATGACAGATATCTTGCTGAGGAGCTCTTCCAGAAGCCAGTGATAGTGTACAACTATCCAAAAGACATCAAAGCGTTCTACATGAGAATGAACGATGATGGCAAAACTGTGGCAGCCATGGATATCCTCGTCCCAAAGGTAAAATCCCTTTCGATTTAAAAGACGTATATGATCGTCTTTGTACCATTCCAGGTTGGAGAACTCGTTGGTGGAAGCCAGAGAGAAGAACGATACGAAGTTCTGGTGCAAAGGTATGAATTTTTCTATCCGAGTCTTGTCAAATTACTGTGAAACTTTTTTCTCCAGGCTCCAAGAGCTCAATCTTCCAACGGAACCATACGAATGGTACTTGGATCTACGACGCTATGGCACCGTGAAGCACTCGGGCTTTGGCCTTGGCTTTGAGAGAATGGTTCTTTTTGCCACTGGCCTCGAGAACATCAGAGATGTAATACCTTTCCCGCGCTACCCCGGGAAAGCCGAGTTTTAAAAACATTTAAACCCGTTTTATCCCAGCAAGTACCCTAAACAGGAATAGGGTTTTAGGATTTAGGGTTTAGGCCGCCAGGGAGCAAAGACGATGCTGGTGCTCGTCGAGACGCCGGCGGGCTTCGCGCTCTTCAAGCTCCTGGACGAAGCGAAGCTCAACCAAGTGGATGTGAGCTAGCTCGCGCTTGGATTTATCTTGCTCACGGCCGTTCTTCTTGATCTTTGGCAGGATATCTGGAAGGAATTCGAGACGCCAGCGGCGGCCAGGCAGGTTTGGATCTCTGGCATTCTGTTCTCATTGCTGTGATATTTCTTTGGCATAGATTGTCAAGCTCAAATCTTTTCACAAGTTTGAGAACACTGCCGAAGCGCTCGGTGCCGCGACCGCCATTGTCGAGAGCAAGCTTAGTAAGGGACTGAAGAAGTTTCTCAAAGCAGAATGCCAAGGCCAGACTTTGGCCATTGCCGACTCCAAGCTAGGAAGGATCATCACCGAGAAGCTCGTGGGTTCTTTGTTTCGAACTTGGTTTTTTTGTAGGGGCTAACTGAGAGAGTTGCCAGGAAATCAGCTGCATCCACAACAATGGAGTGATGGAACTGTTGAGGGGCGTGAGGTCCCAACTTGCAGATCTTGTCGAAGGACTGTCAAACCAGGACTTGGCCTCGATGAGTCTTGGGCTTTCTCACAGTTTGTGCAGATACACTCTCAAGTTCAGTCCTGATAAGGTGTGGCTTTGAAAAACGGTTTTTTTCCATTGGTATCTTATGTGTTCTTACTCCAGGTTGATACCATGATCGTTCAAGCTATTGGTCTCTTGGATGATCTCGATAAAGAGTTGAACACTTATGCTATGAGAGTTCGGGAGTGGTATGGCTGGCATTTTCCAGAGCTGGCAAAGATAGTCACGGACAACATTCAGTACGCGAAATCCGTTAAGCTTATGAAGAAACGGGTCAATGCACCGGACCTCGATTTCTCCGAGGTATGCTGTCTTAGTGATTTCATGCTAGTACTTACGTTTTTTCTTGCATAGATTTTGGAAGAAGAGGTCGAAGTTCAACTCAAGGAAGCTGTGCCAATATCCATGGGGACAGATATAACTGAAGAAGACATGGATACGATCCAGGAGTTTTGTGATCAGGTCATCTCTTTGGCAGAATACCGGACACAGCTCTATGATTACTTGCGCAGCAGGATGAAGGCAATCGCTCCTAACTTGACGGTGCTTGTGGGAGAGCTAGTTGGTGCTCGGTTGATAGCTCATGCTGGAAGCCTTATAAACTTATCCAAGCAGCCTGCAAGCACGGTACAAATCCTTGGCGCAGAGAAGGTGGGAGTTTTTTGAGTTTGCCGTGAAGAAACACTTGCTTTTCAGGCGCTCTTCAGGGCTTTAAAGACCAAGCAAAACACACCGAAGTACGGGTTGATCTATCATGCCTCTTTGGTGGGACAAGCACCTGCTAAGTTCAAGGGGAAGATCGCTCGGGTGTTAGCTGCAAAGACTGCACTATCTATTCGGTACGATGCTCTTGGGGAGGGTCAGGACGCCAACATCGGCATTGAGAACCGCGCAAAGGTCTCAAATTGTCATCTTTCTGTTATACGTTCCTGAGATGTGGTCTATTAACCAGGTTGAAGCAAGATTGCGACAATTGGAAGGCAGGGCTCTCGGAAAAGCTAGCGGTGCAGCTAAAGGCAAAGCTAAGATCGAGGCGTACGACAAAGACCGGAAGGGCGCTACTCCAGGCTTGCTCACTGCCGCTAAGGTACGAAGAACTTTTTGCTCTTCATCTAACGAGTGTTGGATTGTTGCAGACGTACGAGACTCAAGCAGATATAACACTTGGCGGGGGCAAACGAGAAAAGAGAAAGAAAAAAGATCAGGAAGAAGAAGCTCCAGCGACCGAGGAGCCTCCAAAGAAGAAGAAGAGGACTCAAACCGCAGAGGAAGACGCTGGAGCTTCAGCCGAGCCGGAGACCCTGACTCCGAAGAAGAAGAAATCGAAGAAGGATAAATCGGAAGAAGCTGGAGCATCGACACCACTAGTAGAAAAAGTAGAAGCGCCGGCCAAGGAGAAAAAGAGCTCCAAGAAGGAGAAGAAATCCAAGGGGAAAGCTCAAGAGGAAGATCCAGCTCGGGAAGAAGAGCCCGAAAAAAAGAAGAAGAAGAAGAAACAGATGATGATCGAAGAAGTAGAAGCTGCAGCCCCGGACTCAAGGAAGAAGAAGCAACGTAAAGAGTAAAAACCTCATTTTGGTGTAACTGTGATTTTAACTGTGACAAGGCTTTAAACTTACGCGCTATATGATCTAGGGTTTACCAGAAGCTCAGCTCTTTAGGGCTCTTATTTCTCTCTTTCTCGCTATCGCCATGGACATTCTGTCTGTGCGATCAGTGCACTATGCCAAGCAGGACGAGCAAATGTACAAGCAGTGGTTTGATTTTGCGGACGAAGGTGAGCTCGCTCGATACCTCCCACGGTAATCGATATTTTGGTGGAATTTTCGCCACAGATGGGGATGGGCGTATCACCGGCGCCGATGCGGTGAAATTCTTTTCACTCTCGCAGCTGCCGCGGTCGCATCTCAAGCAGGTATGGAATGCGGCATAGATTTGGGTCGAAACTCTTGTTCTTATTTCCAGGTCTGGGCAGTGGCGGATTCTAAGCGGCAAGGCTTTCTTGGATTCAAGGAATTCGTTGCTGCGATGCAAGTGAGTGGAGAATTTTAAGTTGTACGTCATGGTCGGTGGTTTTATGCGCTGTTGTGTCACTGGACAGATCATAGCACTAGCACAGCTCGGGAATGAAATATCCGCGGACATGCTGAGAGATAGAGGTAATTTCTGCTGTTCTTCCTGCACGCTGGCAGAATCATCTTTGTTTTAGCTTGACAGATGTCGATGAGATTAGTCCGCCCAACATGGAAGGCTTGGAACAAATGATACTGGTGTGTTTTCTATCTTCTTCCATCTTCGTTTATGATTTTTCCTTCTCTGACATGAATTTCACTCTTTGTAGGCAAGAAAGAGAGCGCCTCCGACTGGGGACGTCTTCACTAACGGTAAATATTTCGTTTCGCCTTTATCTTGTCTACTATAACAGCTTCGCTGCGCAGGCACATCTCCACAACTACAAGCAGAGACGGCCCAGTGGTTTGCGACAAAACAACCAAGAAAGGTGTTTTTTCTTCAAATACGAGGCTTTTTACGTACTTAACCAGTGTGTAATTTAGATTCCTTCGACGTCAGTAACATCAGTGGTTGATGGTCTAAAGAAACTTTACCTGGAAAAGCTGAAACCTTTGGAGGTTACGTATCGCTTCCATGATTTTGTGTCTCCTACATTGGTAAGTGGCACGTTTTTCAATCAATGAAAGGATTGACAGTGTCTGCGTTCTACAGACTGAAAGCGACTTTGATTGCAAGCCCATGGTGATGCTTCTTGGACAATATTCCACCGGGAAAACAACGTTTATTAAGCATCTATTAAGAACAAGCTATCCAGGTCGGTGGTATTGATGTATTCACTTTGGAGATGCTTACGTTTACTCTTAAATAGGCGCTCACATTGGACCTGAGCCTACGACGGATCGTTTCGTCGTTGTTATGGTGAGTAATAAAAACATCCATATCCGTAATTGACTGTGGATGTTTCCAGGATGGAACAGATGAACGGAGTGTTCCAGGAAACACGATTGCTGTGCAGGCGGACATGCCATTTAGCGGGCTTACGAAATTTGGAACTGCTTTTCTCTCCAAGTTTGAGTGTTCTCAGATGCCACATCCGGTAAGTTCAATTATCACTCTTGCAATTGTCAAAATGGTTTCTCTTGTCAGCTACTGGAGCACGTTAGCTTTGTTGATACTCCCGGAGTGTTATCGGGAGAAAAGCAAAGAACACAACGCAGCTACGATTTTACAGGCGTTACGGAATGGTTTGCTGCCAAATGCGACCTGATACTACTGCTCTTCGACCCCCACAAGCTTGATATCAGTGACGAGTTTAAACGAGTGATTGGATCCCTTCGTGGACACGACGATAAGATCCGTGTTGTTCTTAACAAAGCCGATCAAGTCGATACTCAACAAGTAAGGCATTTGTTCTCATCCGATTGACTTCACATCTTCCAGCTTATGAGGGTGTATGGAGCATTGATGTGGTCGCTCGGGAAAGTACTGAACACACCCGAAGTGATGCGTGTCTATATCGGGTACGCAAGATCTTCTTTTTCTTCTTTTGTTTTTCCTCTTCCTTTCTCTTGTGATGTAACGAGGGATTCTTTGCAGGTCCTTCAACGATAAGCCCATCAACGACCGTGCACTGGGTCCTATTGGCAAAGAACTGTTTGAGAAGGAGCAAAACGACTTACTGGCAGACCTCAAAGACATTCCAAGGAAAGCCTGTGACCGCAAGGTAAACAACACAAAGCCTTGATCCGGCCGGATGCTTACTTTTCATTGTCAGATCAACGAGTTTGTAAAACGCGCGAGAGCAGTCAAGATACACTCGTACATTGTAGGCCACCTGAAGAAGGAAATGCCGGCGATGATGGGAAAAACTAAAGCTCAGCAGCGGCTGGTGGATAACTTGGAAGAAGAGTTTAGAAAGGTTCGAGTTTTTAGTCTCGTTTTGGAATACGTGTGTGACTTGTGTTCTATCCAGGTACAAAGAGAACAGCGCTTGCCTCCGGGCGACTTCCCGGACGTGGATGCCTTTAGAGAGAGGCTGAGTGGCTACAACTTCGATAAATTTGAGAAGCTCAAGCCAAGGATGATTCAATCGGTGGATGACATGCTGGGCCACGACATTCCCAACCTTCTCAAGAAATTCAGAAATCCGTATGACTGATCCCAGCTTTCGTTTAATAAAATAACTGCATAACACGCAAGTCAAGGAGTGATTAAAAGGTACCATGGAATAATTCCCACAAAATCATCCTATAAGGATAATATAAACTTTAGATTAACATATCATTTACAAGATCTTCACAGCTAGATTATTGAGGGTTCATTATTCACTTATT